CTTGTGATACAATATTTGACGGCTAGTCTCATCATGAATACGTACGTACGTCTGTTTTCCTTGCAATTAATAGTACTGATGCACAGACGAATGCTGAACAAAGAGAAAATTACCCTTTCAAATGGTCACTGTCGATTCAACCACGTTACACAAGCTTTCATCACACACAATGCTTCACTAAACGTTTTGTCGAGATGGATTTTGATAGAGCGAACAATTCTCATCTATCTCATCGCAATAAGTTTTTCTTCACCAAATTATGCAAGATCGCCGTTTGCTCGCATATTCACTTGTTTGCATTTTCCGATGGCCACTTGAAATTCAATGAATCCAAAACTTGTGGCAGTACACAACGTGCAATAGCTATCGCGCTTATGCAACTAAATCTTACCAGTTTGATAATCCGAACTGCTCGCGTTCAAATGGTTTGAATTGAAATTTTTCCTCCATTATTGCGCCATATCATTTTTGAATGATATTTCCATTATAACTCAGTGAAGTTGAAGTCGTGCAATTACTGAAGCGATCAGAAACTAAGAAGTTTAAAGAGATGTTTCGTTGCTTTTGTCCGTCTGTCACTCAGCTTCACTCCGGCAACAAATTGCAGAAGCGAACTGAAATTGAGAGACATCGTTCGTAAGAAAAAAACTGTAAAGCAACAGTTCAACGCTCCAAGCAGCCAAAACTGTTTCCACCTTCACATAACCGTTCTGACTGAGAATTTCATGTTGAAATAATGACGGAAATTTTCAATGAAGATTTTTGATTGGTTGAAGAACAATGCAAAAAACCAGAAAATCATGAAGCGTATATAAACGATTGAATTCTAATGTTACTTTCATTGTACCTCGTTTCACTTTCGTCACATCCCTTCTGTATTTGTTGGTGAATGTTACCTAACCAGTGCCAAGAAATTCGTTTTGGATTCATACAATTCGTAATGTGAAGTGCCAAAACTGTTTTCACCTTCACATAAGTTGGTTGGCAATGAGCTCAGCGATTGCCTCGCTTGAATCTTTTGACTGCAAAGATTACCGTCGTTCACGAAAGTGGATGACTATTTTGAAACCGGATGACCTTCAATTTGACGTAGCAATTGCTAGTGCTTCTTATGCTATTTTAAAGTGGATATATTCTATCACGATCAGTGGCCATGACATACTTGTAGATCTGGTCACTCTTACGCATATTTTCTTCAATCAAAACATTTTGTTTTCAAAATAATAATGATATTTTCTTCAGAAAAATACCTTCGGTTAGAATATCCAGAACATTTTATGGTAAAGTTTCATGGAGATTAAGCTAAAGCTATTAATCATCAGTTGATCACTTCAATCTGCTTCAATCACTTTTCCAGTTTCTTATGCAAACTGCCTTTGTGTGTTTCGTAGAGTTCATGCTAACTGAATCAGAGAATGGAGTTTTTATAGCAATTATGTTAATTCGCAGAGCTTACACGCTTCAAGCTTTACCGTGACACTATCGGCATGTTTCAACAGCCAAATCATTAACGCAGATGATCAAATTGCAGTTTTTGCAGTTATCATAATGCTGTCAATATGCACTGGAATTGTTCTGTTAACACTCGCAGAAATTGGCTCAGGGCAAATGATGATGCCCATCGACTGCAGCCAAGCACCACTGGGTGTGTCCTTCCATTTTGTTGAACCAATTGCATACTTGTCTATGAGCCTAATCTCCAACGAATGTAGATCTTTTGATAAAACTGCATCCACAACTGTATGAAAATCGCATGTTATGGGTAAAAACTGTTTCGAGAAACAAAAAAAAAGCATTCTGAGAGTTATGAATGTTTCTGTCCGACACAGTAGTCACAATGAATCGGAAGATATTGCAAAATGTGAATGCGTGAATTAAGGATTCCAACAACTCTGCTATCAATTACAAGCAATGGATAGGATGTCAAGGCAGCGTTGGATAATCAATCAGCAAGCGGAACAGCAACAACGTCTACTGCAGGCCCCACTAGTTCCCGGTGAGCAATGGTTATCGCCAGCCACACCTCAGCGAAGCTTTCAGCCAAGCGCATTCGATTGTTTGGACCTTCAGTGCTTATGTCCATATTTCCAAGTTAGCCGATACTCTGCTCTCTTAGTGATTCTAATGATAATAGCACTCCGCTCGTCATTATCATCAACGAATTTCTTGATCAGTGTCAACTGATTCATTCAATTCAAATCGACATCATAACGGCTGGTGCTTGTGAAGTCGGAATTATGATAGCCAAAAAAGTTCAAGAAACCAAGAATCAAGTTCAAGTTCGAAACTGCAAATGATTCAGATGATTTTTGGTCTCATCTACGTTGAGCGAAGCATTCGGCTCACTATCAGTAACCTTTCCGCTCTTCAGCAATTGAAGATTTCCGCAACAACAAGTGATAAGTTATGAAAATAACGAAAGAGCACAAATTAATTTCCAAAAATTGAAGTGAACGTTAAGCAATTAGTCGAATATTCGTAATGAAATAATGAGTAAATTCGCGCTTATGCGTTCACATACGGGATGGATTCGCAGAGAACTTTCAATGAATGTGCTCAGACAGAGCGGCATCGAAATGATCTATCTCATTGTTATGCTGCGATAAATTCAGAACATCAGTTTGCACCGCAAGAACAATATTTGCTAGTTAGTTGAGTTGTCGTTGATCGTTCGTCCACCTAATTAAGTTGTAAAAAGCGATGTAATTAATAGAACAAGTTTTACTTCGAACAAGTTTACGTATAATTTAACATGATCACAACATTTTCTTATTTAAACATCGTCACATATTCGTTCGTGTGCCTGAGGATAGACTGTAATTGTTTACAAGCACTTCTAAAGGCGATGTTTCATATCGGATGTTTCGTCATCTCTCAACAAAATGATAGTAGTAACTAGTGTTCGTCGGGGAGCAATTTTTTGCACGGGGGGGGTCCCCGCGGGGAGTAAATTGGACGGGGGGGGTCCCCGCAAAAAAGTCGGGGAGCAAATTGCGCGGGGGGGG